TTGGCGTCATCTCTTCACAGGTGTTGGGTCATCTGAAGTCTTCGTAAGAGGCTGGATATAGTCAGCAGGAGCAATCTACAGATTACACCAACAAAATGTGATGTAATCATACTAGGGAACTGGCACTTTTTCACAAAGAGCAGGGAAAGACTTGCCAAAACCAGTGAAGAGACTCATTGTGAGGGTGATGTCTCTTTACAGGGAGTCTTCAGGTGGTTCTTGTTGTGAAAGTAAGATACAGAAGGAGAAAAACATAGGAGAAATGGTTAAGTGATGCTCCATCACATTGCAGTCCTGTGGCATCACTGCTCAGTCTGTTCCTTCAACACAGTACTTCTTTAGTAGCTAAGAGTTTAATTATAAAATACAGTATATATTATGTATAGATTTACTGTAGTGTATATAATACCTTTTTTGGAGTCTATTTAATAACTCCCCACCAGCAAAATCACTTTTAAATTATACAACGATGGATGAAACTGCATGAAGAGAATGAATAACATCCCGTAAATCTACTAATTAAGTGAGGAATAATCTAATAATCATCTGTTTTCATGCACAGGGTAATTTGATTAGCTGTGCTGATACTATACAATTTTGTTCTATAAATGTCTTACCTTTTAAAAGTTCGTCACAGCGGTCTCTTCTGCTGCATCTCTACGGCGCTGATAGTATGAGCGCTAACTTCCGGGAACTATTGAGCGGCTCCACGATCCGCCATTGCTGTAAAAAAACTGGTCCATTGCAGTGAACGAAGTTGTCACAACTCTCTCTCTCTACGGCTCTGGGCCAGGCCAACCACAGGTAACTAGGGTCAGCCGATGTCGCAGCGCTAGCTGGAGGCAGCCAAAACAAAGGAGACAGGGGTAGCTGCAGCTTAGAGCAATGGGCGTGCCGAAAGGTAGAGGCGTGCCAAAAGGTAGGGGCGTGCCAAAAGGTTTCTCATTGGTGAAAGGAGTTCGACTGTGTTGGCCAATCAGCGGTAAACATACATTTACGTAATTTCCTTTAGACAAGAGGCTTGTTTGAGATGAGCACATTCTGCGCAGAACCGATCACCGGTGATCACCTCGAGATGCATGCCGGTTAGAAAAGTGTCCGAGTTATGTCCGACTTGCTCGTCATGCTGACGTGTGCCAAAAAGCTCTCGCGACGGCTGTGTCGGATTGTGCAGTCGAGCGCAGTTGCTCTCCACCGACTGTTTTGTAATGTTTGGAACTCGTAATGAAAGAAATTAAAAGGAGAGAGAATGACTAGTTCACAACATTACCAACACTTCTTTATTCTCTTTCTCCTCGCTCCTTCTCAACAACAGAACTTTAACTCTTGCAGCCTCTAGTGGACTGGCCCAGTATTTCAATCTATGAACATTAACACAGGACATAACATTCCCCTCTTTCTTTAGAAAAGAAACTCTTAAAAGGGGATTATTCAGCCTAATTTCAATCCATTTATGAATTCTGCCTTTAAACCATAAATGTACTTCTGGTGTTTTATAACATCAAATTAATAAACATGTACACATTCAACAAATGTTTTCAATTACTTTCTCTATTCTTACACTAGTGTTTCCTTTATTCTCTCTTCTTTTCTTTTCCCTTACTCTGCTACATAGTCTTTTAACCACACAGGAGGCTGCCTAGCCCGTGTACTCCTAACTGGCTCCAGCACAACATTCTCAGTTCCAGGGTTAACCTGAGCATTCTCAAATGCAGTTTGAGTGTTTTCTGGAACCAGAGACAAGTGAGCTGCATTCCATTTCTTTCCATCGCTCAAGACATAAGTGCTTGGTCCTAGTTTCTTATCCACTGACAAAGGAACAGTGAACTTCCTTCCAGCCTTTGGTACATGCATTGGTTTTCTTACACGTACACGATCTCCACACTTGAAGGGTGGTGGTTTAGCGCCACGTTTCTGATCTGTATACTGTTTCATCTTTTGTTGAACTCGCTGCACACGGTCACGCATGCCCATTGGCACTTCCTCTCCATGAGCTGTTGTGGCTGACAGTGTTTAACTTTGTGTGCATCTTCCTCCCTCTTAACAGTTCAAATGGTGATACCCCTGTGGTTGTGTGCGGGGTAGCTCTGTAATTTTGGAGGAAGTCTGTGACCGCTTGTTTCCATTGAAGTTGTTGTATTTCAGCTACTTGGATACAGTCCTTTAAAACACGATTCCATCTTTCCACAGCACCAAAGTATGTGGCATCAAAGTACCGCGATAGCGTTTCGAGAGCAGCCGGCTGACTCAGCTGGCGCAGATTTTTCAGAGCAACTGCAGGAGTGCTGATGACGACCCAGCTGTTTCACGATTGGCCAAATTCACCACATGACAACAATGACGTATGTTTCTATAGCTTCAAATCCAATACTGCTCATAAATCTGTGTTTTTAGAACAGTAAAAGCTTTTTTACTGTAGTCGCAATGTTATATTGAGTCACGTTTATCATGAAAGCATATATACCCCCACTTTATACTTTTTAAAAATGAGTATATAGGCCTATATACCTTGAACTTTATTCTTGAACAGATGGCGCTGTATTAAGCAGTATATAAAAAGTGTTTCTGTTGCTCATGAAAACGTTTCTGA